GAGAGAGAGAGAGAGAGAGAGAGAGAGAGAGAGAGAGAGAGAGAGAGAGAGAGAGGAGACGAATCGGGATGGTGTCTTTTCCTTTTGTTTCTTCTTCATCCAACCTTCCTGTATAAATTTCAGATTTCCGCCCTGGCCAATTTTGCTGCGGCAACTTCGGATTTTTCTTTGCGAATTATTTTTCCATTTTGGCGTGCGTCATCATTTCTTTCCCACTCTATCAAGCTTGCATGGGTGACGGTTTTTCTCACTCTCTGTTTGCGACGTGATTGCACTTCTCAATTTCTTGCAAGATCGGTGGTTTTTGTGTGAACGCAGGTCGTTTTTCCTTTCGATCTGAGATACGCACTTTTGTCGATTACCTCGCCGTTGCTAAGCATGAATGAGTCTGAGGGGAATTTCTTGTCTTGATGAATGCATAATGGTAGGACAGATAGGTATACGCAGAAGTCGCGATTGTACAGACCCGTGACTGATTGTTTGCGATTGACTGTTCGGGAGGGACTGAAGGGCCGCGCACGACATGCGCCCTAGGAAGTGGGAGGGCAGCGATGATGGGCACTAGGAAGCGACAAAATTTGAATAAGCTAACCTAGATCGCATCTTCTGATCGACCCTCGCTTGCGCCCACTCCTGCTCATCTGGAACCAGCCCCTCACTTAGGCGTGAACAGATCCTGTGCATGCACGTGTAAGCCTGACCAAAAGGGATGGCACATACACGCGTGTCTGCAAGATTTGCGCGCAGGCCATGACAACATTTTCGCCGGATTGACAGGATGTTTCGCATTACGGACCGAGAAAGCTTACGGGACCCCGAATATCGAAAATATTGGGAACGAAAGGACGCATACTTCCTCGCTCAGCCTCGCCCCGACCATCCGAGATTCCCTTACCAACGAGGAGACGAACGCGTGTGCGACTGGGATATAGGAAGGGCATTGGATGTTGTTCCTTACACAGCCCAATTCCCCGTCCCGCACGAGCCACGTCTTCTCTAAACCTGGGGTCGCCGTCCTAATAACTCACTGCCCACCGTACCGAGTGGTGCTGCCCTTCCATTACCTCACCGTCATTCCATGGCACGCTGTTGCTCCCTATTGGCCTCGAACCCCCTGCTCTGAGTGCCAGCGAGACAGCAGGTATCGAGCCTCGGGGTTCGTTCGCCGAACCCAAACGGAGTCCGAACGGCGGGCACGCAACCTCCAGCTGAGACCCTCATCGTCTGATTCCGAAGTTTGTAGTGATCGACGACAACAGTTGATCAGATAGCGCAATACCCATAGTGTGCACCCTGTCCATAAGGTCTGTGACCGACCGCAAAGGCGAAACCAGAAGAGATGGTACGTACTTTTTTGTGGTTTCCTGCTGATAACCTACTTGTCCCAATGTATGACATTCACTTAGAAATCTAAGCGAAGAAGGACTTCGTACTTCGTACCTTCCGAGGTGTTCCAGCACATAGCGAGATTACGAGGCTCATATTCGAACCTCAGGATGCTTTTTGGACTTTATCTTCATCTCTTGTGATTGAGAAATGAGAGATGGACTTTCTTCTTTCTCTCTCCAGATATAATTGAGTCTAGAGAGTGGGTAAGTAAACAAGATAATACGCCGCCGGCCAAATCCAACCATCCCAGCTCTTATCTAGACTGAACCCTTAGCTAATGGGAATTGAAAATTGACGATGGCCCGGTGGGATTGAATTCATTGATTGCTCTGGGTGGTCCCCCACAGAATTCAAACACGGCGCGCGTTTTACTTACTTCTTGAAATGAAAACCATTGGACAAAATATACAGGGCTATCACCTTCTCTGGCAAGACTTTCCAATCTTTTCTAATTTGCTTGGATGGTATTTAGAGCCTAATCCGCGTTCGGTCGCCACTACTAACAGAGTCTCGGTTGATGTGCTTTCATCCCCTCTCTCGGGCCTAAGGCATAACAAAACATGATCGAGATCGACGACAGGGACAATGTCGTGGGGGAATTTTGTTCGAGAATGCAAGAGTCTTTGGAGTTGTTAACAACGTGAATGCGTCGGGACTCTTATCCCTGGGTTACCCTGCACATGCCATCTGACCTATGCCGCACGACATCAGCAGCTCCCCTTTCTTTACAATGAGTCTAAGAGGCGGTCCGTTCGCTCGTGCAACCCGACATGCCGCGCACGGTCTGCACTTGCCCTCTTGCCCTTTCACCCCCGAAACTTGCCACAGGGGATCTCAGTTCTGTCCTGGGACTCCACCCCCTCTTTCCTAAAATCCTTGGCACACCCCCTTTTCGCACTTCCAGGCCCCCATCCCACTCCGATCAGGAAGTCGCGCTGGGCGTGAGGTTTTGGGCGTCACAGCACAGTCCCACAGGGGACTAAGGGGTTTCTGAGGGCTGGGGTTACATCGCTCAGGTGGGACGTGCCATTATGCTATGGGTCATCTGGCTGGATAGGAACAGCCTGAGATTCCAGAGCGAAAGTCTGTCGGAAGTGCACGTTCAGGGCCTTGCTGGCTACTGCGATCAGGGCAGACTGGTCACGCCGGGTGATATGATACAAGGGGATCGGAACAGAGGCCTAATCTGGTTCCAGAAAACTTGGTGCTTTTGGGGTGTTGAATGGCCCACTTTACCCCAGAGGGTAATCTCGCGTTGTGCGAATGGATTGAGCGATGGTAGGTTAGTTTAGGGTCTAGGGTTTAGGGTTTTCTTCGGGAAAAAAAATATCGAACCAGGGCACTCGGTTCGGGCCCTGTTCTTGACTCCATACCGCAGGAGGTCACATAGGGGTGGAGGGTGGCAGAGTGTTACAGTCACTTAGAACCAGAGGTCCGGTTGGTCGGTTTGGGCCGGCATCAGGCCGGAATAGGCGTGTTCTTTGGTAGGTTAGGATAGATTTTACTTAGATAGGCTAGATAGTAGGTGGGAAGGATTATGCATATAAGGCTCATTGTAAGGGTTCTTTTCCAATAGGGTGGGAGTTTGGTAGAAGGAGGTGTCAGTGCTGCAGATAAGAAGTGTGCAGTCCAGGTGGTGATATGTGTAATTTTTTTTGGGTTAAATTGACTTTGTAGCAGAGAGTCTGGGAGCTACTGGGATATTGGTATTCGAGGAAATTGGAAGAGAGTCAATAAGCTAAACCGGCTGATGCTGCCGGGATAAACCCGGGTTGATTTTTATTTATTTATTTTTATTTTTTTTGGGGGGGGGTAACCGGGTTGAATTCAAGTTGTTCCCGATTGGAAGTTGACTTGTTTTTTTTTTTTTTTTTTTTCTTCTTCTTCTTCTTCTTCTTCTTCTTCTTCTTCTTCTTTTTTTTTTTTTTTTTTTTTTTTTTTTTTTTTTTTTTACGAAGTTGACTTGTAATGAAATGGGACGTGTTTGAAAAAAAAAAGAAAAAAAGAAAGAAAGATATATCATCATTGATCTGTGACACCCCAGTAGTTCAGGATGATTTATGTTATTTGGTCGTCTGATTGCATTTGGTTTCGAACTTGCGCGTCTGCGTCAGCAATTCATTCATGGGTGTCCCAACAACTTGAGCTAAGCTCAAGTCGCTGGTGCGGTATTGGATATATCACCCCCGTAATACGACAACAACTTGAGCTAAGCTCAGGCCGTTTGTGCGGTATTGGATATATCACCCCCGTAATAAATGCATTGACGGCCCCGACCACTGCCTCCCCTAACTGGACCGGTGAACCGTTGCAGGGAGCTACCGGTAGCGAAGCACTGCCCAGTAAAGCTCACGTTGAAAGGGGTAAAGAACAAGAAACGAGGGCCTGTATACGTGCCAGTACATATACTCTCTCATCAGAAGAAGACGCTGCGGTCGTAAGCTGATCGACGCATTGCACTGCTGGCTGAAGCATCTTGCTCTCACACACTCGCACACACAGGCTGGTTCGGAGGCAGGAAAGGCCACAGTGCTTGTGTGTGTGTGTGTGTGTGTGTGTGTGTG